GGGATGTCGAAAATGAAAAGAAAATGAAAATTTCGATTTTAGCTCTTATTTTTCGATCTTCTCAAAGGTATTATATCTGTTATTGCCTTAGACCGCTTGAATGAACGACTTTTATTCCTCTTATGGGGACAAAATGATGATGGTGGAGAACACCTCATACTAAACTGGTGTGCAATACTTAGGGACGAAAGCAACTTTCGATTACTGTACCTCTGCTAGACGACCGAGCTTGATGAAATTTATACTTACCAATAGAACACCATTACGGTGTCGCACTGGAAGCAAATGGTAGAAAAGTGAAATAAGACGAACAAATAAGGCACTTTTATTCAAAGGTGCCGATTACACATAGTTCCTCATAATTTGTCCTAGCACATCAAAAGAAGCGACGCAGTTCCTAATAGGGTGTGTGTTCACCACGAACAGCAATAAATGCTCTGCAGCGCGATCCCATACCTTCCACGAGGTTGATGATGCGTTTCTGTGGTAAGGCATTCCCCCCAATCAGCACAATTGACGATTGCTGGATGGTCACTAGTGCACTTGGACGTGCTGCAACGCGTCTACCGAATGCATCCCGTACGTGCTCCGTGGAATTTAGGTTGGAGGAACGAGCAGGCCACTCCATTCACCGAATATGCTCTTATGCCAAAAACTCCTCCACACGTGTTGTCCGATGCGGTCGCGCACTGTCATCCATAAAAATGATTCCAGTGCCCACTGCAGCCTTGAAAAGACGCTTATGAGGAAGGGGTACCTCGTCACATTAACACTGAGTGGCAAGGGTTACAGGTCAAGAATCTGGAGGTCAGTACGGCTATGCAACATGATGACTTCCCATACCAGTACACCTCGACCGTCAGAATGATCAAGTTCGACAGCTTCTGGGAGAGTTTCGTGTCTCTACCTCTCGCCATATGAGCGTGAGTTCAGAATCACTACTCAGATAGAATCTGCTCTCATTCGTGAAGAGCACACGACTCCATTTTTCATCGGTCCATGCTATCCTCCTAGCACCACCCTAAACGGTCTCGCCGGCGTACGAGGGTCAAAGGAACACAACCTAGCGGTCGTTTGAGGAATAGACCGCCACCGTGCAGTCGTTGTGCCACTGTAGTGCGCGAGTTGGCTTGCCTTAAAGTCCTCTTAAATAGCATTGCATGAACAGAAGCTGATTAACGTGGATCTCTCCTTCCCTGCTGCCCAATGTACCGGTCATACCTGAGTGTAGTTGATCCTAGTCGACCACTTTCTCTCCTTCGTGCAGCAGTATCAGAGGTTCATAATGCTCTCCGTGCACGTGAAACAACGCTGCGAGCGATACCAGGCCCCTGAGCTATGCTCTGCATGATTCGACCTTTTTCGCGTTTCACTATGAACCTTTCTCGTGTCAAGTCATCCAGATGATATCTGCGGGACATGATGTAAAAGGATACCACATTAGCTTCGGCTGAATGACAAAAAAATTTTTTGTACCTATCAATTGCCTCGATTTGGGCGGGCAGCTATATTTCTCGCTTTATTTGAACTGTTTCTCCACGAAGGGAAGTCCACTTCCTGTGCATAACCATCATAGGTCTGGCAATATACTCCCACCCTTTCATTTACTTCCATCCAGTCCTTAATGTTTTATGTTACATTATCCATCTCGTCCCTAAGTTTTGCTCACCAGTGTATATTGCGAGGTGAAGCAAAGCAGAAAGCAATTGTACTATGTAGCAGAACCCCTAGAGCAAATGAAAAATTCCGTAGAGAAAACAGGTCTACCAAGAAAAGGCTACAGCTGTTCGTTTGTTGTTGTTGTACGTTTTTTATTTGTTCAGGAATCGGTCAGTGCTTGTGAGTGGAAGATCCTCTATTAACCGTGTTTGCCATGATCAGTCAGCTTAGTATTTTCCACCTTGTCTTGCAGATTATTTTGACTTACTTTCCTTTACATTCATTTTATTTTAATTTCTACCGATATCCTTCCCTGAGCGTCCTCCCTCTGGAGGATCAGCGATAAGGTTCTCGAAGTAGGATCTCGAGTAGGAAGTAGGTTCTCTCGCGTGTCGACGGAAGAATAGTGGTCTCATAACTTTAAATAATATTTTGACAGGCAAACTATCGGTTGAAATGCAAGGTTTATTCACCCTCCATATGTCGGTCACTAGAGGAAAAAAATCGAAGCTAACCTTTTGGTACGTTTTTTGTCTGTTTCCTACTCTCACTTTGGTTGCATTTTTTGAAACTTCCTTTTCACTCATTTGAAGTTGTTCTATTGTTTGTTAACTCCATTGCTAAATTTCCATGTGCGTTTCGTGCATGTAATAAATAATAATATCCTCTGGTAGTTAGTGACGAGGCACGGTGATGACCCTAAAAAGATTTGAGGCTCGGTCGGCATGGATAAATATCGGTACTGGAACCAGTCCCTGACCATGTGTGTGATAGGAGCGACACTTGCCACTACAACAAGCGAATGAATCATTACATCAAAAATCACCACTACTTGCCCAAAACGCATATGGGATCCAGGGAGTGGATTCCTGTTTTCGCTGTGTTGTCTTCTGTATCTCGCAGGTACATCCATGCATGCGTGTGTGAACAGTTCTTGGGAGCGGTTGGTATTCTGCTCATCGGCTCAGCCAAAAGGCCGCATTAAAGTGAATAGGAAGCATCCGGAGGTGATTCGGGTCCGCCCTCAATAACAGCATCTCGTTCACTCTGAGAAAGGAGACAGCAGAGGCGTCGGCGGGCTAGCTGTCCTCGTGAACACACTTGGCCATGAACATACAATTTTACGAAAGCTTGACAAACTGAATTGGACGTTTACAACAGAGAAGTTGAGGTACAACCCTTCAACAATTTCATTGCCTAGGCTTTAACATCAAGCTATACAGAAGAAGAGAAGATGGAAGCATTTTATATAGGCCTGGAATGACTCTTGAAAAAATCACACTTTCTTTATCGTCATCGTTAACACCAAGATTAACTCCAGACGAATTGCTGAAGCACTACATATCGGGATTAACTGAAGGAATGAAATGAGCAAGGCCAGAGACTGCCCGAGTTTGTCATGTAAACACATACGTCCATGGCAATTCGCAATTAAAGACATGCGATGAACATGGGAGTCACGTAGTGGGCAGTTCCATAATATAGTAAATCAGATCATCTTCAATCGGAGCTTCCGCCTTTCAGACCTTGCTGTTATTCCGAATTTCTTCACGGGACTGGACCGTCGTCTCCTAGATTCTGTTTTTCAATGCCAGAGAGAGAGCTGCGATGTTCAGAAAACGAAATCTCAAACCGTCATCGTGTAAGGCACTACGGAGAGTTTCTGGGGAGATTCCTCTACTGGTAACATCGATGGAAAATACATCGGTATCGTCGAAACATCTCACGACAGTGCTAGGGAAACAGATAGTTTACAGGTAGCCGAGGGACGTGCGTGGAATCGCGCGGTGCAACTGCAAGAGATCATATACAAACATCCGAACTTGCCATGCAGAGAAATGATGAAGGAAGAACTGGAAGGGAGAGGAGCAGCAGTTATGGACGAAACTGCCGAGGCTGGAAAGATTGTGCAAAGCAAGATGGAGCTTCGCCAATAACAAGACAACGATAACTTCCCTTCTTCGTCCTGCCGGAACAGTTAGTGCATCACGAAGGGAGTGGAGAGAGTCATCTGATGCCTTGCACTTGAATCTCTTCGACTGCCACGTCTAATTGCCCATCTACCATTTCAAGCAAGACGGAGATATCGTCCCTTCTGTTCTCCCTTTCGATATTGGACATGCTACCACGTCGATGAAGAAGGCGTTCAGTTCCGATAATATCAAACCACAACATCTGACTACCTTCCACTTACCGTCAGAGCTCTAGCTAAGCTGCTCACACAGTACCTGTCCGAGTGCAGGAAGCCAACGTCGAGTAGAACTAGCAAGACAGCGTTGCTGTATAAAAAAGTAGATCCAGACAAGGTTGGCAATTATCGCTCAACTTGTCTGCGGTCTTTAATCTACAAACTATTCACATGCGTCATCGTCGGCTGGACTGGCAGAGTACCAGATGAAGGACAGCCATGCGAGCAAGGATTTCGAAATGGTTCAGTACAATCGATCATATCCACTTCGTTTCGAGACTCATTGAAGTATCGCGAGGGTACAAAATGCCGTTATTTCTGACGTTCGTCGATTTGAAGTAGAGCTTTGGCAATGTCGAGGCAGAACCGGTAACCAAGGTGTTCCTACTCAATATATAAGGATACTTCGTGTGAGCTCTACCACAACTTCACGGCCAGAATGTCGCCATACTGTAAGGAAGTCGTTGAGATCGAAAGAGGGGTCGGCGGGGCAAAACAATCCCACTCATGTAACACCTTCTTCAACGTTATATTTAGGTGACATGGTAAACTTACTCTATCGAGAGCATTACTAATATTCACAAAATCCCGAGCAGAAGTAATGTTCAGTTGGCCATTGTGAATTCGTTAAAAAGTAGTGATTTTTGATTTGTGGGTGTTTCCTCCCCTCATGCGGTGAGAACAACTCGATGACTAGAGCTCGCGACGGTGCATTTGGACTCACACCTCAAAGACCACATGATTCATGATGCCTTCAACTCTCCCTCGTCAGAACCGCACTCGTTCTACTGCTGCTGTGTCCTCACCCTGTGCAACTGATAAACGGCTCACCTAGCCTTCAACCTCCATGGTTGACAGACTAATTGAATTGTGCCGTTCAAGGCTAAATTGTTGGCTGACTTCTCGTTGCCTGCGCTCCGACTACGCAGGTGGCAGAGAGCAAGAATGAGACAATCAAGATTGCTGCAACCGAAGGGTTCTAATATGCGCGAAGTTAACGGTCAGAGCTCTCAGGGAGAATCGAGACGGGCGAGGGTAGCTGAGGGAAAAAACACGCCAGCAAACTCTTCAGCAGTAAACAAACAACACTGCAACGCGCAGCAACACTGGCCGCAGTGGACGAAATACACGATCGTTAAAACGGCGAGAGGAGGGGCGGAGTGCCATGACGTAAAAATAACAACTGGAGTGTGTGCGTAGTTCACCTGCTCGTACGTTGGCCTTTGAGCTCTGGTCGCCTTTCAGTTCAAGTATTCGCCAGAATGGTTTGTTGGACTTGTGTTGCTGTTTGGTTGGCTGTCGGCAGTGTTATCGCGTACTTTTTCTTTTCAAAGAAGAATAAGAAACAGGTAAATGGTCCCATTTTCGGATCCTTTATACTTATTGAAAAGAGTCATCGAAGAAGGAAGCTCATTACAAATACCGTTTTCTCACAGCTTTGTCCCAAAACTTATGAGAAAACCTTGATCCAATATGGTTTACTCCTGCTCAGATGACCTTTCTCCTGCCAGGTGGCCCTTTCGCAATAGTACGAATTTTTCGTTTGGGAAGATTGATCCCATTTTCATTTTGGGTTCCATTTTTTGATTCTTTTCAAGAAGAGATATCTAGAGGAAGCTTTTCACAAATGCCATTTTCTCACAGCTTCGCAACAAAAATAATTGAAACTCTTGAACCACTATCGTTCATGCCTACTCGAATGACCTTCCACCTACTAGGTCGCTAGAAATGTGTCTGATAGAACCATCGCGACAGTCCGGATTTCTGGAACTTTCTGAAAGATCCCATGAAATAACTATGAAAGAACACGACCCCCCTTCTATGCGCATAACGAATCCCACTCTTGCTTCCTGCCTATTTAACCAAATATGATCGTGCTTCCTATGCTTCCTCTACACATATTCAACATATACTTCCTTACGAGTTCGAATCCACCCCCTCCTGTGCTAAAGCCCATCACAACTTGTTTCAGGCATTTCACCTCGAGGACCCCTTCCAAGCAGTTCTGTGCATACCTCATTCCAACGCAAAACTCCTAGAATATTAGGAATTATCTGAACTTCTGTGAATATTTCGGCAGTAACTTTTCGTACATTCTAACACCCTCACTTCTAAACTATAGCGATGTCGGGGCAACAGGCAAAGGTTTAGACCACTACAATGATACAATCATGAAGTACTCTTTCCAGATGCAGATACGTAAACATGATTGGAAACCAGACATTGTCTATCTCTACCAATTCCCCAGACTAAAGTCAGTACCGAATTTATCGCCATATTGCTTAAAAGTGGAGACTTTTTTGAAAGCTAACAATATCCCATACGAGGTGAGTGCGAAACACTTGAAATCATCATCGTTCAACAGTATTGTCATTGTTTACCAAAGGTATGCCCCCTCCTGATGGGAAGATCAAAGTACGGCCTGTTGCCGTTTATCGAGCTGAATGGTGAACATATTGCCGACTCACAGATTATTCTTCATCGGCTTAAGACACACTTCAAAGTCAAGGTACGAGTTGGTCACACTATGTTGGTATGCTTCAGTCGATCTTTTCCACTCCACGAACTGTTTCAAAACTTTGGATCCGGTGGCATAGAGAATATACTATCCGGCACTTGTCAAAAAAAAAAAAGATTGAGAT